CGGCGGCTCGCTCTGACAGGCGGCGCGGCGCCCGCCGTCGGCCGGCCGCCGGCTCCGCTGACGGCTCAGCGGCCGGCCGGCCCGCTGACGACGAATTGAAGCCGCTCGGCTGATCCGGCACCTGCCTCGCCTGCCGGCCGCTATTCGCCTTGCGCTGCACCGGAACACACTGGCCGGATTCCAACGACGGCCGCTACTTGCTGGCCATTTCACAGGCATTTTTTGGCAATGGAATGACATTTCTTGCAAAGCGGCCATTGCCAATGGTGGATGGCAGCGGTGATGGGTCTCATGCCGTTTTCTCAGCGATGCCATTTGCGCTACCCGGACGCTTGGGTGATACCATCCTCATGGACTTCCTGACCGATCATCCGCCTCTTTTTTGAAAACCTCCCTCATTCGCTTGCCGAAACTAGGTGCTTAGGGCACGGCGCGTGCTAGGCTGGGCGATGCAATCATTTCCCCTGTTCTTGGGCAGCGCATGGTGATCGCGGCGGATCTGAAATTCCACATGACGTTACTGGGTGAGCACCGTTGATATCCGGCCAAAATAACGTCCGTGCGTTATTCGATAGATTCAGATCTTTTAGAGCTTCAGATTCAGATAGATTCAGATTCGATAGATTCAGCGGATTATCGGCGTCCTGAGCCTTCTAGTGCACCCGGAGTGGACAACTGTCAAGCACTCATGAGAAACACGGTGGTTAAACGGTACGTTCACACACCTGCCCTGCCCAACGCAGCACTGGATCAAAGCAAACGAGCTCTCCGAGGACCGACACAGAGGCAGGAGTCATACTATGGCCAGCCCAAACGCCAGCACCGAAACGGCGGCGGGCAGCCCGACACCCGGTAAGGAGCACAGCTGGTACCAGCTCAGCACAGAGCATGAGATGCCCGAAACAGTCACACAAACAAGAAGGGGAGCAGCGAGAATCTGTCCGACATGAAACAGATACGACAGCAGTGATTGGTCCAACACAAAGGATTAAAGCAAGCGGCGACCTATCCGACACAAAGCACGGAAGGCTGCAACGACCAGTGGGACATTCGGCGCTTACGTCGCAGGCCCAGGCGACATTCGCATCCGACGAAAGGGTATGGCTTGCCGAAGATCCGGCCGGCGGAGAAAAACTGGTCTGGCTAGGATAATTAATGGCATCAGGCACGTGTCTCGAGTCTCAGCAGCACCGGCCCTTGGCATGCACAGCGCGCGTTACGGACCCGGCCGGCCCCGATGAAGGCCGCGCCCTCTGGCGGCGGCAGCTGTCATCGCTGCAGAGGCGGCGGGACGCGTCGTCGCCTCCTTCGCGTCCAACAGCGGCTACCCCAGACGGCAGACAGACCATCCCCGCCGCGCCGTCGGGACCAAGGGTCCGGACCGCCGGCGCGGGCGCGGGCTGATCACTGATCCCCGGGGCCCGGTCTGCCGGCCCGACAGGCCGGGTCCCGGACTACCGACGCCTCATCACCACTCCCTGTCCGCGCGCCCTAGCGGCGGTATTTCAACTGATGCCCTCTCCCGACAGGTGTCGTCACAGGTCTGACTCCTATGGCTGTCCTGCGTCCATGCCTGTTGCAGTGTTAGCCGCCGGTCTAGCAGTTGTGCTAAGCAATGCTGCGTTGCATGATACATTTCCAGTGGCGAGCGCCGACGGTAAAGCAATCACCGCGTTCTCTGTTTCCCAGGGCTCTGGTGTCTGGACGTGTTTGGTAGCGTAGGGGAGCCGGGTGGGGGTGATGGTGGCGGCGGGATGTGGACGGTGCCAGGGGAACACCTCGAAGCTGGATGTCTCCCGGCCGGCGTGCGGCGACAGTGTTTGGTCTCGTGTTTCAGTCCGCCGGCCTGCCGTGCCGCCTGCCGGCCAGGCGCCTCTCCCCTCCAGAAACCCGTGCCCCGTGCCGGCCCGGCCGACTGCCGCCGATACTGGGCCGTATCGGCCGGCGTGCCGGCCCCGCCCCCTATCCCCCTCTCGGCTGCGGCCGGCGCGGCCCGTCAGCTACGCGCGCCGCTCTGTTTCGCCGCCACATCGCCAGGTGGCAGGCCGGCCGCCGCGGTCAGTAGGGAGATGTGCCGTGGCGCAGGCCAGCCTGGTCCCACGGACCGGGCTCGGCCCGGGCTCTATCTCTCTCTGTCTGTCTGTCTCCCCTCCTCCCCTCTGCCGCGGTCCGGCCACGGCTCTGCCCCCCCCCCCCCCCGCCGACGGCGGCGGGCTGGCCGCTTCCTCAGGCCCTCTTCCTCGTGTGATCGGGATCGTAGACGTGTGACATGGACGTGTGAGGCGTGGGTGCGTGTGATGAGCCGGGGGCGTGTCGGTGGGGTGACGCGTGATGGCGTGTGGGACGAGCTCCGACGCATGCCGCATGCAGCGCTGCTGGCGCTCACTCACAAACTCTTCCGCTTGGCTGCGAGTGGTAACTCTGCCGGCGCGTCGCCGTGGCAGCGCCACGGGGACCAGCCGGCCGCCGCCAGTCCCGTCGTGCCGTGCCGGCCGTGTCTCGGAGCACAAGTTGTTCTCATTGCACGCTCTCCTTGGAGGCTTCCGTGAGTCGCGAACTATGACTCCGTCTGTGCCGAACGTTGTGCCACGCCACGACTGTGTATCAAGTGGCGCTGGTGCTATGTTCACAGGCGTCCAATCGTCGGAGTCACCACAAATGTTTTCAGAGTATGTAGAAGGAGTCTCAGGACATGGACCAACACTCAGAAGGTGAGCATCCTCCGACCGCAGTGCTCCTCCTCCTCATTCGTCGTCCTGCTCCACCTCCTCAGTCCTCCTTCCCCTCCTCAGTCCTCCTTCCCCTCCTCAGTCCTTCTTCTCCTCCTCAGTCTTCCTGCTCCTCAGTCTCAGCCCTCCCTCCGGCTGCATTCGTCTGGTCCTTGTTTTCGTCGCAATCCGAGAACAGGTGCTGCTAGCTGTGCCAGGATCTTAAATATGAACAAAAAAGCCCGTCAGTCGCGTTGTGCTCAAAACATCTGAACAGATGTGCAAAACGATGTGTGGTATAAATGTGCCAAAAGATATGTAGTGTGTATTACTTATATTTAGTTTATATTTTACGTTACTTCACTCATATATAATGTTCCATGTTTCATGGATGGCTGCGATTAATGCTGTAAATACACATCCCTTACTCATGTTTCGCTCGCTTGATGGTCCTGATCAGTATTGTGAAAACAGCATTGTGTGGTGCCTGTGATAAGTTTGGTGAAGAATACCATTGGGGATATTCTTTGATAGCATTTACTCATGATGCGTGAGGCAAGGAATGCGAAAAACATGTGAACGGTTGCTGTCGAATCTGCGCGCGCCCTCGTCAGAATATGTAAACAGTGAATGTCGAATCTGCGCGCGCCCTCGTCAAAATATGTCAACAGTGGCTGTCAAATCTGTGCGCGCCCTCGTCAGAACCTGAGTAGGAAACCACGAGAAACGCAGCAATGGTGACCCTTCTACGTGTTATTGGAATGGGCAGATGTTGCACGCGACTCGCTATCAATGCCAAGCCACAACGGCTCTAACAATAGCGCGCATCGGATATATAGCCTCCGGTTAGGTATTTTTGCGCTCTCTTTACCTTGCATTTCATGACCAAAGGCTAGTCGATGTTTTGATTTGAAATGATGTTCAGAATCGCACTTTATGGAATTAAATCCAGAGAACGCTAAAATGTGAAAAAGAAGCGTGGCCGGGCGCCTGTCTGTCCGCTAGTCCCCTACACCGACCGAAGCCGGTTTTGGCCTTGCGCCTGTCTGTCCGTGTCGGTGCCCGAGTGGCCTTGCGCCTGTCTGTCCCGTGTCCGTGTCCGAGTGGCCGTGCCCCTGTCTGTCTGTGTCCGTGTCCGAGAGACCGTACGCCTGTCTGTCTGTGTCCGTGTCCAAGTGGCCGTGCGCTTGTCTGTCTGCGCCACCTGTGTCCGTGCCGGGGCGGCAGCTCACGCCGGCCTGGCCTCTCCGTTCCTACAGAATGGTCCGCACCGAGACCCGCACGATGACGACGTTCGATGACGAGGGCCGACCGGTGACGCGCACGGTGACGGAGCGCACCACCACCGAGGCTGACGGCACCGAGAGTCGCCAGCTGGTGGAGACCGAAGACTAAGCGGCAGCCAAGCGCCCTGGCCGGCGCCGATGGGCGCGCTAGGCGGGCGGCGGCTCGCCATCAGCACTGGTGCGCGCTGGACAGACTGCTGCCGGCGAACCGAGATGTGTCCACGGAGGGGATGGACTTGTGCTGTTTGCCACACTCACGCCGTGTTGCCTTCTGTTTATGAGAAACGGCTATTGCTGTGGGGCGGGGCGCGACGCCGGTCGCGCGCGCCTGGGACCGGCCACCCGTCGCCTGGCCAGCAAATTGCCCCTTGCTGGCTGAGAGGCGGCGTCGGCCCTGGCGGACGGCGGCGGCCCCGGCCCGGGCTTTGCTTGGGTACAGGGCTCATGGCGACCCACAGAGCACCGGCTTCAGTTGGAGATCAAAAACACTACCGTTAGGTTTGTCTATCGAATGTGACGTTTTGTCCGAATGCTACATTGTCTAGTCAAAGGTAGCCCACTAAATGGTTGATGAAACTGTGCGGAAATTCGTTTTCTTTGTGATTTTTCATGAAGGATCGTGTTTTTGAACGGTGGTGGTCATTGGAAGGACGCTAAATCTGTAACGTGAACGTTATGTGCTAAGAAGGGCCACTTTGGCGTGCACTGGTCATGCAAGCTGCTTTGGGCTTTGAGTATCCGTGTGTCTGTTGTTATATTGCACGCGGGCGCGCGTGCGACGCCGGGCGGGCGTGGCCTCTCTCCATTCTCGGCGCCGCCCCTGCGGCAGGCCCGGCCCGCTCGGCACGCTGTAGATCATGTACCGGCGCGGGCGTGTGCGTGCGCATGCGCGACTGCGTGTGCTATTTGGCTTCAAATACTAGTGTGCGTCCCTTATTCGCGGCAGCTTGTCAAGGCAGGTCAGGGGTGGCCGGCGGGCCTCACAGGGCCTCGGGACTGGCCGGCCATCCCTTCTCCGCTGGGGACGCGGACCTCCGCGGTGCGTGCGACATATGCCAATAAAATAAATATAAAACAAACGTGGTATTTAGTAGTCGCCGGTCGAGCGAGGCATGGGTCGAGGCGCGGCTTAAAGGGAACCGAGGACAGACAGCGGATTGCGCAGGGCTACGGGCCCGCGCAGAAGCTGTTCGGGCGGCTGGGCCGGCGGCGCGGTCCCGAGCCGGGCGCGCGGCGTCGCTGCTGGAGTCATGGCGTCGAACGTGAGCACGGAGCGGCGGCCGTTTCGAGCGGATTAGGTACATGTTGAAATCAACCTAGCTGCGACTCTGTTGTGGTGTTGAACGCTGTGATGATCGCCTCGGCTGCACTGTCGCTGTCCGCGCCGGCAACACAGTGACGTCATGACCACGCTGGCGACACTGTGACGTCACCAACGCACTTGCGACGCAGTGACGTCACTACCGCGCTGACGATCTAGTGACGTCACGACCGCGAAAGAAAGCATGCCGCACTTTATCAGCAATCATGAGTGCGCTGGGCATTCATTGGTGAAAAGCAGATATCGGATGAGGAAGAATCATTTATTTTCAAAACGAAGCTAGAGCCAAGTGACCGAGAACGAAACTATATCACGTGAGCTTGCGCTTGCCGCTGTTCAATATGAAGGTTTTGCTTATGTAACCGCACTTGACGGCGAACAAGCCGAAGGCCGCGCTGGTACGTCCGTCATGGCGATCTCGCAACGTCGGGAGGGCATCCACCCTATCCCGCGTCACAGAGTCGTCTGTTCACTTCCTTAGAACTTCTGGGCATCTTGGAATGTCCAGGGAGTCCACGTCAGCGACACTCGTGGTAGCACGGGCCATTGCAGCAGGTGCTCTTGTACACCTTGAAACAGTCTTCGTCGCTGAAGCACTCGTGAGGTGGCGGGTACTGCTGGGTGCAGACACGCGGGTAGTTGCCATAACATTCGGGGAGATCCTCTGACTACTGGCCGTTGACCGTCGCAGAGACGGAAAACAGGAGCAGACTCGCGAGCACGAGAAACTTCATGGCTGGTGTGTGACGCCTCTGGGCCGGATACATCTTTTATACCAAACAAGCGCTTTTCTGGCAGTTCTGCTAACCGCAACGTGGTGAAGATAGCAGGGAGCCATGATAAACTAAGGCGATTACTGACGCTGCACAACAGCCCTTTTACGTCAGTGCAGTAAGCAGCGAGTAAAATTCTGCATTGCCGCGCCCGTATTCATCGTCGTGCATATCACATCATCAACATATTTGCAGCTGCACCCTTGTCGCAGGAGCACCCGTCCGTACATTGCACACGACTAGTTGAATGATTTCAGCGCGTGTTGAGCCCTAGCGTGGCAGCCGCATTGGCTATAAATTTCAGCAGTGGTTGTTTGGCTGTTTGGTAACGCGTGTCACCTTTTGAGACGATCAGCGTCAACATTTTAATTGCTCATTTCTGTGCAAAATGATTCGTTGAGTTTCCACAGTTAACACGCGCCCGGGTGGCCTGCTAGATACCCTTCGCTCGGATGTGGAGGGGGGGGGGGTCAATTGATCCCGTTGAGATCACGGGAAGTAAGAAAGCTAGAGACACCAAATTTACAGAGTGTGTTGACCTGGGCGTGAAGTCACTTATATCAAAGTTTGAGGCTGCTAGGTGATTAACTTCAGCTCAAATAAGGTCAAGCAAGGTAAAATTCCAGGTTGGTCTCCAAGGTGCCCCAGAACCTGGGCAACTGTCTCTAAGCAAAAGGTCACAAGCCCATTTGAGATCAGTGGCCTTGTTTGACGTTTTCAAGGTCATGTTGATCAAAATCCTAAGACTGCTCTGAGTTTTGCAATTAGATAAGCCACAAAAATTACGCTAAGGAACATGTTCCTAAAACGAAATGTCGTACCCAGGTCATCTTAGGTTCAGCACCTGTTCTGACCTCTAAGAAGTCAGTGAAAGGTCTATAAAGCGGTTCCTGCCGTCAACAAATTCGAAATGAGTACCAGAAACTATCCCATACTGCAAGCCCTAAGGTAATAAACCACGTTGGTTTTGACCTAGGTCAACGTACTTGACCTGACCTTAGGTCAACGTAATTTGCTTATTCAATATTTTTGGTGCCTAAAAAGCATCTCAGAGATGATATGGCTTCGTCAAACACTCCGTTGTTCTATCAGACTGAAAGATTCCCTAGAAATTGCTTTAGCTGAAACCATGGCGTGACTTTGACCTGACATAGGTCAGCGACCTTTCAAGGTACATCTAATTTTTTTCTTACACGATCCGCTATTAAATTTTCTCCAGCTATGCAAAGGTTGGCGCGGCTACGCTTCGCCGTTAGGAAACCATTCTGGAAAAACCTTCGAGGGGGGGGGGGGGCATTTGGCCCCACCCGAGTGCGTGTTAAGCATGCGCAATATAAATATCGTAACGATAACTGGGAACAGGAGCGGCGTATCCAAATTTTGAATGGTGGCGGGGGGTCGTCAACGACTTAACGAATGGCCTTCCAATCCGACGGGCCCCTATATTTCATTGAGGCCGTTTATTCAGTCTAAAATCAGCGCCTGGCCGCCATCGTATCCTAATGAGTTGCGGTACCTGCCTCAACTCAGCTGCGCCAGGGTGGCTGGATTAAAGACTCGAGTGGCTTCGGTGGTCACTATTTGCTCCTGGCGGGCGGGTCTGCGCCCGAGGTCAATGGCTACCAAAGCTCAGCGGGGTGGACCGAACCGGACACTACGGCACATTAAACCTCTGCCACAAAGTTCTGCCATTTAGCTGGAAGTTTGCAATCGGATGGTCGGTCGCCCTCTTTCCGTAGGTAACCTGTGCCTTTTCTGGGCGTGACAAGATGGCACTTCTCAAACATAACGTAGGCCATTTATGAGTTTAACCAAACGTAGGCCCGTCCCGGGCCTAGAAGATGATAGATGCCTTTTCTGCACATGAGATGCTCACTTTCTCCGTCTAAAATGGCTGGTCGCCTGATTAAAAGGGGCTCTTTTAAGTCCACTATGGCTCTTTCCACACCTGACACGGGCCCATCATAAGCTGAAGGCGGGCGCAGGCCTGGGCACCGGGGCATACGTGTATTCTATTTGGTCCACGCGGTCCCTTAGGGCTCTTCGGGACCGACGATTAAGGACCCGACAAGGAGGCCCGAAGAGTTGGCCAGAGGATGCCTCATGGAACCGCGGCCCGCAAATGCCCATCAGAGGGCCTCTTGCGCCAGTTGGGGCCCATTGGGGGCAATGAGCGCCAGCCAGCCGATGCGCGACCGCGCATTCTGAACAGTTTGCCCCGTAGCGACGTATGGCCCATTTCCAAAGTCGGGACCACCCTGCGCCCGCGATTGTCAATCAGAGGACCCTTTGCATTAGTCGGGTCCCTGAGATAATGGTGGACCGCAGTGTTGGTCATAGGCCACAGTATGCCTAACGGGGGACCCTACGGCGGCAAGAGCCCCGAGTCGGCCATGGTTCCGTTTTCTGGACAGGTAAAGGAGCACGACCCCGAATGTCAAGGAGGCTTTTAAGTTGACCGGGCCCGCTGATAATGAAAAAACATAGGATAAATGTCAATGAAAGGATTCATAATGAGACAAAGTGAAATGGCTCTGCGTGAGACATGGACCCAGTAACGAACATGGCCCTGGACGTACACCCCATTTCGGTAAAAAGCCCGATAAACCGAACTAGAGTCATCTGTCAGTTATTGGACCTCCTGTGTCGGTGAGGGATTTTTTTGGCTTCACTTAGCCATCCTGCGTGAATCACGGATCAGCTGCTCCTGTCTGAGGGCCTTGCGCGTCAGGGAGGGGACCGATGCATGGTGCATCTCTCTGCGGCATTCGTGTCCGACAAGTGAGCTCTGGTCACCGTGTCTCCAGGATAGTAGTTAGCAAGCACCGCGAGAGGCGGGTTGTTTCAAAAGTCCCCTTCGTCCCCTGACCGGAAAGGGCAATGTTATGCCCCAGCGTGCTACTTACGGGGCTTGCTGTCCGTGGAAGGTAAGGGGTCTCATATGTGCTCAATCCACTGTGCCCTCAACGAACTCATTTGTGGACATGATGATGGCGAATAAAAAGCCTGGGGCCCTCGAAATTTCATGCGCCAAAATGTGATGATTTTTGGGGTGTTATTTTACTGGTAGCCTCGTATCATGCTCCTTATTGCCAAAATATTGACCTCTTCCCTGGTATAAGATGGAGTTTGTGGGATCTGAGTTATGCTCTCCTTGGGCTTATGTGTTCAGATGGGCCTCTCCGGACCGGAGAGGCCCATCCGAAACCTTAAGTCCACTTTCTCAGTTTGAAATGTGTCATTTCATCATTTAAGAAGGACCATTTTTGAGTCTTCGATGGGTTCTATTCAAACGTGAGAAAACTCTTTCTGGGCTCCTGATGAACCTCACCCAGACCTGAGACGGACTCCTAAGTTTGCGATGGGCCTGTCCTGATCAGAAACGGGTCCTTTTGAGCCTGCAATGAGGCCTTTCCAGACCAGGAGAGTGCCCTTCTTGTGCCTAAAACTGTTATTGGGGCTTCCTTCATTGAAATTGACCTTTTCCGGACCTGAGATTGGCTTTCTAAGCATCTTTGATGACACACAATAAACAAATGTCTTGCACAAATCCGCCGGTGACCCATTAGGGCCACCTGAAGTATGGGGAAAAATATGGTTTGGGCCGTTGCTTGACAAATGGGGGACAACCCCCCCCCCCCTTCGTGTACGCCGTCACTGGCTTTCTGAGCCTACGATTGGCCCATTCCAGACCAGAAATGGCCCCTTCTCAGGGCCAAAAAAAGTAAGATAGGCCTTTTACGAGCCTTAAGTCCTTCGTCTCTCAGTCTATACAGGGTCCTTACCTAACTCCAGACTAGCCGTTTTTAAGGTTATAATGGAACCTTTCAAGACTTGAGAAGGCTTACTCTGAGCTCATGATGGGCCCTTTTCCACCCTGACACAGGCCCTTTTTGAGCTTATGATGAGCCCTCTCCAGACCAGGAACGGGTGCCTACCGTGAATAGTGGTGACATGAATGTTTTCCCGTCTTGAAGTGGG